ATTCGCATAACCTGTGACACATGTGTGATCAGTTACAAATGAAGGAAGGTGTGCCATTATAAATCATTGAGCCATGGTTCTTCAATTGTGATGCAAAGTAATCCTCCGAACTGCATGGCAAGAAACTGTTCAGCTTTGCATAACACAAAGACTAGAGAGCACCAAGGTATTATCCATGCTTGTGCTAGAATTCGACAATTGTTCTTCTGGCCTCATTTAAGTCAAGATATTTGGTGATGGTGTGGATACTGTAGAGTGTGTACCACCCAAAGAAAGAACTGACCAAGACAAGACAAATTCAAACAGAAAGGCGTGTCTGTTCTGCCTGAGAATAGCCCAGAATATCCACAATCCAGTCCTAGAGACTGTAAGAGATTATTGATACATACTCATCATTATCAGATATTTCATGAAATGGGATGAAGCTTATCTATTGTTCGATACATTAGCACAGTATGTTGCTATTGTGTTGCTGGATAACTGTATAGCATGGTTCAGAGCAACAGAAGAAATCCACGTAGATCGGGAAGTTAATTTCAACAGCCAATTATTTACTAAGTTGTGTAAATTGTTAGGTGTGGCAAAGATGCAAACTTAATGTTAACTCCCTCCGCCTGTTTGATGGTTTGACAGAACAAGTGATACAGATTACGAAGTAGATTCTTGCAAAATTTGTTCATCCTGACAAAATCAACTGAAACGAACACTTTCCATATGTAATGGTGGCATATAAAGCAACAGAATAAGGATATGTAGGCTGTACATTAAACATGTTCATGTTTAGGCAGGAAATACTCATCCCTGTCGATGTTATGTATGGTCCTCTCCCATAGTGTTCACAGGAATACATGGAGTGGCTGAGATATATAATAAGTGATACACGTGAGTTTGCCTAATAATGAAAGGCTGCCCAACTACAGAAGTGTTATAATTAAATGGTAAAAGAATGTTTCAGTGTGGAAATTAGATCTGGGTGTAGTACATGCTGGCAACACAGAAGCATTCTGCATCTGGCTGGTCTGGTCCATAGCTGATACTCTGATAAGGTGTTCCATTAATATATGAGTTACAGCAACTGTGTAGAATTCAAAAGCATATGGAACACACCAATAAGCTGCAGCCATACATAAAACTGGCTTTACAAGAAGCCTGAGGAGTGCAAAAATGCTATCTTGAAACATATTGACTAACATGATAAGAAGAAGGAGTTAAGGAGATTATCTGGTAGATGAGGAGCTGTCAGAGATAAAGGTAACAGACAGCTCCAACTGTCTGTCAGACAGGTGAATGTGGGAGGGACTGGCCAATTCACAAGAGTTATAACAGTTGTTTAGAAGTTTTTATAGAAGTTTTTCTGACTGTCTTTGGGTTTGGCTTCCTCAGTAAAACTGTTTTGATAGGTCTGGTTCAATACTCCTTTCTGGTTCTCTGTTCTGTAATTCTCTTCCCTCTTTGTCTTGTGCTTGACTTCCTTTCGGGCACTATCCCAAAGTTTCTGCAGTGAAGTGTCTTTCTTCTGCACTTTTTTCAGCTCCTGTGAACCTACATTCGAGTTGTCACTCTTCGAGACTTTAAGACGTTTGATATCTTGCTTGCTACATTTCCTTTGAGCTCTTCTGATTATTGCCGTTGCTGTGGCAGTCTTTCTTTTGTCTATTTCCTCTAAATTTGTACTCTCTGGTATGTTTCCTATCACCAAGTCATATAGTAGTTCCTTGATACATATGGCTTCAAGGTCTCCTACATAATATGAAGTATCCACCTATATTTTTGCCATGGAAACTTCCTCACTGTTCCATCAGTTAGCACACACAGGCATACCTTGTCTGTCTTCTGATCATTAGATACTAGACTGGTTCTCACTGCTGCACTACTGCACCCAGTGTCTTGTACAACCTTCACTTTCTTGTCCCCAACATAGCCTTCACATATTGGCATATTATGATTTGTTGGCATCTCTTGATATGTGTCACAAGCTCCCATCACTATTGGCACTTTTGATCCGTTTGGTAACTTGAGTCGACCATTAGTCGTGCACTGATCGATCATGATTTCTTGTATTGAATTTGACAAGTAGTCTGGTTTCTCTTTCTTCTGATAGCAGCATCCATGGTGTCAGTCACTGTTTTCTTGTTTCTTACCAGCACTGTCTTTGTAAATATCTCCAGCTGCTTTGTGTTGAGGTTTCTGCTGTTATTTGCAGGTAATGGACTTGCACTCCTTTGCATCTCTTCTCCCTTCTGTCTATTAACCTCCTGTCATCTTTGGTAAATTCCTGCTTCAGGTCAACCATTACTGGTTTCAAATTTAACTGGTTATTTTTGGACTTACCAGTTATACTACTTCCATGGGTTTCCATATACTGTTCTACCATTTTGATCATCTCATCCACGTCTTTTGGTGCCCTCTCCTTTAGAAACAGTGACATGTCAGTTGAACACGTGGTCATGAACTGTTCACATACTAATAGGTCTGCCAGTTTCTTAAAACTATTTTCATATATGGCCATGTCAGTCCATTTGGTGAAATATCGACGTAGACGTGCCACAAACTGAAATACAGTTTCTCCGGTGTCGGGTTTGACTCCACTGAACTTCCGATGAAAATCTTCTTTGATAAGTTCATATCGTTTCAGTAAAGCCACATTTAATTTGTAATAAACCATGGCATCTTCTGATGTCATGCCTGCATATACTTGTAGGCCTTTTCCTGTGAGAAGTGGGCTAAGCCAAATTGCACAGTCGCCTTTGTCCCATTTCAAATTTGGGCAGCTTAGGTCGGCTAGCCCTGACTCCATTGTCATTCTGGGGTCCTTATTCCCTCGGTTAGGTGAGTTTTGCTATCTCAATTTGTGCTCTTATTCTTTCTCTCTCTATTTCCAGTTTTCCTTTCTCTCATTTCCTCCTTTCTCAATTTGTATTCTCATTCTCTCTATTTTTAGCCTCTCCTTTCTCTCATTTTCTTCTTTCAGTCTTTCTTTTTCTTCTTTCTCAATTTGTATTCTCATTCTCTCTATTTCTAGTTTCTCTTTTTCTCTCATTTTCTGCTTTCAGTCTTTTTCTTTCTTCTTTCTCAATTTGTCTCTTCTCGTAGTTCATTGTTTTTAACCCAAGTTGAGATCCTCTTTCTCCAAATTTGTCGAAATCTGTTGACATGGTTAAATAGCGTAATTGTAATCTCTACACGAGAGGTTCTCAAACTATGTCAACCCGCGAATCCCCTTCAACTTCTTTATTGTATTGGCGGACCACCTCCCGATAAAAATAGTTTTTTTCATATGTAACTGGTGTATTATATGCATATTTTACTACCTTTACAGCTTGATTCTAGTTTTAAGAAAATAATAATGAAAATAGATTTAAATATGGAAAAGCCCCCCAGTGGCACAGTGGTATGTCTGCGGACTTACAACGCTAGAAGCCGGGTTTCGATACCTGTGGTGGGCAGAGCACAGATAGCCCATTGTGTAGATTTGTGCTTAACTTCAAACAATCAAACAAAACAAAAATATGGAAAATTAAATTAAAAATCTTACAACTTAATTTAATGTGAAGGATGATACTGCTTTGCTGAAACAATCTTGCGAATTTCTGTGTCAATGTCTGACAGCTTCAAACGAAGATCCGGCTCCATATTTATCTTATTTCTATTGTTTGTTTGTTTTGAAATTAAGCACAAAGCTACACAAAGGGCTATCTGTGCTCTGCCCACCACGGGTATCGAAACCCGGTTTCTAGCGTTGTAAGTCCGCAGACATACCGCTGTGCTACTGGGGGGCCTTATTTCTATACTTCGACTTTAAATAGGTAAGTTGAGAAAACCTCGCTCACATAAATACGTTGTAGGAAATGGCATTAAATATTTTGCTGCTTTGAATGGATAATCACATCTCACATGTAACCAAAAGTCTGTCAAGTTAGTTTGGCCAAAAAAATGACTTTAGTGGAGTGTCACACGAAAGACCATTAAGGCTATTTTCTTCAACTGCAGTTATATTTTCAACATATAAAATGCCCACATTAAATGAATCTCTGATCCACTTACTATTGGAATCGGGAGGAGGAAAAGTAGATTCTAAAATCTATTTTCAAATTATCCAAATGCTGAATAATAATGTTTTGCACCTCATCAGCAAGTTTTTCTCAGATTCTTCAAGAAAAACATTGAGTGTTGGTAATGACTCGTAATTACCGTTTTGAATACGATGTGCCCGTAAATCAAACTTTTTATTATTGCTTCTATAACTTTAAATACAGTTACGGTTGCCCCTTGAAGGCATAAATTTAGCCCATTCACATGAATAAATAAGTCAGATAAATAGGCCACAAGAGCCAGCCAAGAAAATTCATTGAAGAGTTCGCTCAAGTGAAACTTTTTCTCACTTAAAAATAAAGTTTCATCCCGCAGTTCAAACACACGACTGATAATCAGTGCACATCCTATTGAGATAACCAGCGCACATTCTAATGAGATAACCAGCACACATCCTAATGATATAACCAGCGCACATCCTAATGACATAACCAGCACACATCCTATTGAGATAACCAGCGCACATTCTAATGAGATAACCGGCACACATCCTATTGAGATAACCAGCGCACATTCTAATGATATAACCAGCACACATCCTATTGAGATAAACAGTACACATCCTAATGAGATAACCAGCACACATCCTAATGACATAACCAGCGCACATCCTAATGACATAACCAGCACACATCCTGTTGAGATAAACAGTGCACATCCTAATGAGATAACCGGCACACATTCTAAGGCAAGAGAAGATGTTTATGTTCACTACCCATCTCATCACAAAGAACGTTGTTGTATTTAGTTTTCCGTCCATTCTTCTTGCAGCCAATGCTTCTCTGTCCACGTAACTGTAGACGCCACAGTCTTAACACGTGCAACGAGTCCACTGTTCTAACCTGACATTGCGTGAGCTCCATCTGAACTTATTCCTACACATTTTTACATTCAACTTCATTTGTTGCTTAAAAGCTGTCCAAACCGTTAAATATAGCCTCATATGTAGCATTGGTTGGCAAGGAGTAGCAAAATAACCGATCTTCATAGATTTTTCCTCCGAAATCGTACCGAATGAATGCAATCAATTCAGCATGATTAGCAACGTCTGTACTTTCATCCAACTGCAGAGAATAATATTGGCTTTGGCGTCCTCTTATAATTAATTGACTTTTAACATTCTCTGCCATTTCTTCAATTCTACGTTTAACAGTGTTGTTTGATAGTGAAATCAAATTTAGATATTTTGCTGCTTTATTTCTATGCATTGTACCTGACGTTACTTTTGTAGCTGGTAAAAGTAGTTCCTCTCCAATAGTACGTGGACTTCCAGTCTTTGCTGTCAAAAGAGATACCTCACATGAAGCAAATGTAGCTTTTTCATTAATGAAACCAGTTGCTATTTTTTCTAATAATGTTTGTTTTCTACGCATTTCACGTTTTTTAGTTTGTAACACTTCAACAGATTTGCTACTGTATTCATTATGTTTTGTTTCAAGATGCCTACGAAGCTTGGGTGGTTTCATACTTTCCTTAGATAATACATCATAACACATAACACACTGATGCTTTTAATCATTTTCTAATCCAGCGCAAGTAAACCCAAATGCTAAATATTCATCACAATAGTTATGCCTTTTCTCACTTTACGCTCAATGAATTATAAACATAACTTCCTACAGTCGTCTGATTTTAACTCTTACTAGACCACCTTGACCCGTTGGGTCACCCACTATTCAGTGGTTATGAAGAATTCAAGCTAATTTCAATACTGCACCGAAATTAAGGTTTATTTTGAGATAATTTAATTAAATATTTCAGTCCATTCGTGTTATTCATAATTCAAGAAAAGATATTTGATTGTTGATCGGGAGTGAAAGGAAAAACTATTTCATTTTTCAAAAAAGTGAAGTCAGAGTTTTCAAGTATTGTGATGAATTAGTTCATTATGTTGTGGTATTTCCACTTAAACCTTCTACAAATAAGAAACAGTAACACTTTATTTTTTCTTCGAATTACCTACCATAACCAAGGCACATTATTGAGAAATTCTTCAAGATT